AGTGTCCATGGGAGAGGCTGTGATGGCGTCCATTGATAGGGAAGAAGAAAATTTGTTATATATATATATATTAGCTGAAATATAAACAATATTATTTTTAATTAGTAATTGAGTTGTCATCCTTTTGTTGAAGGAGAATTTTTTTGTCCAGCGAAATTATTGATTAAGATAGGATGACTTGTCAAATTTTTATTAGATATAGAGATTACAATGGCCACATCAACAACTAAAGTTGAATATCACATGAAACCACGTGGTTTAATTAATGGACAAAACAACAATTTTATTTCTTACTTAACGGTTGTTTTACGCTATGGACTTATTTGCAACAGTCTTAGTTTAGAGGGTATTTTTTTAGTTGAGGGATTTTTTTACAATTTGGTCATAGTTAAGGGAGTTTAATGCACTTTAGCGGTCAATCTTCTAATTTTTCTAATTTGATCTATTAGTTTTACACAACTTTATTAAGAAAGAACTTAAAAAATTAACTTCCTTTTTAAATTCTTTCACCGTATGGTAAATATGACACCATTTTGTCAAATAGTAAATCAACTATAAAGAGTTCAAGTTTAAATTCTAAAATTTTAATTAGATTGAGTTAAACCAAAATATTCATTTATACATTACAAAAAATTTGATAATATGGGTTATAGACTGGTAGTATTTTCTTATCAAAAGTATCACCCAGTGGCGTTACTCACTTTTAATACTGACCTTAGAATTTAATCCTACGGTAATTAATTAATTAGTGTTTCCTTAAGGCAATTGCTTCTGTTTTTTATTACCATAATATATTATTAAGAGGAAATGACAAAACTAGACAAGTTTTTAATGGAAACAAATTAAAACCAAATTGGTTAAGATTTTCTTTTATACGAATTCCTTCCCGAATTCTCAAAGCATACCAATTGAAAAATTAACGTACAATCGTCCCCTTCTCAACCTTGCAATTAATTTATATCTGTGAAACAACTACTTACCGAATAATCTAATTACAAAGGAATGTTGTACTCTCTAAATATGTTTATTTGTATGTGTGTGCAAAAAAATGAATTCAAAGATAAGCAAAATCATCAAATCATGTAACTCAATATATAAAATATGGAAGAGAAAGAGAATGGACCACCTCCACCACCTACCTTGGCATTGTTGCCACCTCCACCGCCGCCCCCGGCACTGCCGCCACCTCCACCGCTCCACCACCTACCTTGGCATTGTTGCCACCTCCACCGCCGCCCCCGGCACTGCCGCCACCTCCACCGCCGCCGGCAATGGTGGAGGTGGGTACAGTGGCGGGGTAGGTGGTGGCCAGCGATGGTGGCAGTGACGGAGTAGGAGGTGGCAGCGGTGGAGGTGATGGATGTAGAATGCGCCGTAACAATTCAAGGTTAATGGATTGGAAATTCATTATTTTTATTTTTTTCAGATGTGGTTGCCTTCTATGTTTTAACCTCCTAGCTTCAAAGGAATATTAATTAGGATTAAAAGTGAGTAGTAGCCACTGTGTATGTATATATATATCTATATTTAACCCAGATGGTATGCTTGGGCCAAACCTACACGTATATAGCCCAATTCTTTGAATCATAATCCAAATCTATGTGTCTTTTGCTAATTAAATCGACTGTCTTCTGCGATCTTTATGATTCTTCATCGATGATCTGAGAACTACATATTCACACCAGGTATTTGATATTTTGTTCGACTAAGTGTGTATTCAACTTTATGATGATCCATCCTATGATTATCAAAAAAAAAAATTAATGTTCCTACAGTATTTAATAGATTTTTAGTTTTCACAAAGCAAAAAAGAATACCTGCATTTCAAATAAGCATATATAATCCTATTAAGGGTATCGACAACAGAAAAAAAAATAAAAATAAAAAATAAAATCACACAAGAAAAGAAAAGAAAAAAAAAAATAAAAATAAAAATAAAAATTTCATGGATAATCCATAGCTGCTTCATGTTTCACTCAAACGCCCATGCATTCTCCCTGCGGACCTCTTCTTCTTCTTCTTGAGTATAGTCATTCTTAATATTAAAAGTCTTGCGAATCTCTTCCGGATTCTTCCCTTTGAACATATTCGCCACTGTTTGACATGTCAGATATAACAAGCTCTTGATGTTCAAATAGTTTGCAGCCAAGATGAGATCGAAGAGGGTGGCTTGGTCTATGTCTTTGACAAAGTCAGCGTCAAAAGTTTTGAGAGCATCCTCTTCGGACTTGGGGGTCTCGATGTGCTTCTTGCAGTACTCGATGATCAGGGGCAAGATCTTACTAGATACGTTCGGTAGAGGAATGATGGAATCGGCACAATCATCTTCAATCAAGTGCTTGATGGTCTGCGCCTCCAACGCCACTGCCTCTTCCACCTCGAAGGTCTCGCGGATAATCTAGCAGTATGTCGTACCCACAATCATTGGTCACTACAGAAGCAAGTTTTTATCGAGCAAATTTTTTTCACTTCCCCCACTGAAAATTCCACCCAGTCCTAGTTTTCAATCTTAAAGACAAAAAAGTCCTAAAAAATTTTTTTAAGACAAAGAAGTCCTACATATTTCCAATCAAGTTCTAAACTAAACCCCCTTTCTCCCCTAAGCAAGAGAAACTGTCTTCTTTAGAACCCAAAAATAAATAAATAAAGAACCAACCAAACAATAGCAGAGCGGGAAATTAAACATCAACAACTAATTAATTTGATTATAAGAACCAATTAGTGAGAATAATTAACCATTAATACAGTCAATATATAATAGTTTAAAACCTAAACTACTCTCAACTGTTTTTTTTTTTCACCAAGACAAGACACCTTTCAATAAGACGAGTTTGAGAACAGGGCATCCCAAATCTCAGTTAACACTTCAACGATGACCCTGTGGTGATGACAAGAGTTTAGAGAGAGAAAGCACTGTAACAGATTCTCAAGATCCTTGGCTCCGAAAATCTCCCTTTCCACTATCATTTCCACCATTGAAGTCCTGAAATCATTGTACGGATCGCTAGAACACTTCACCCCCGCAAAGCTGTCTTCAACTTTTCCTTGTAGTACCGGCATTAGACCCATTTCAGAGTCCTTCCTCTGATTACTGCTTCGCCGACTCATCTCAATTTGGCGGTCACACCGAGGTCTGTTTCGGTAAAAAGACCGACCAGATGAATCAGAGGAAAGAGATTTTGAGGAGAAAAGTGTGGTCTCGTCGTTGTCGTCGCTGCTAAACCACCCATTATAATACTGAGCTCTGTCAAACTTTTGGCTCCTCAAATGGGTCTTCTTGTTCTTCTTCTTTTTCTTTTTCTTTTTTCATGATTTTTTCTCTTCTGGATTCACTCTGAAACATTGAAAGTTGTGGATTTTGTTTAGAGGCGTAATGGGTGATTCAGGTGGACATTTTTGGCCGTCCATGTCGGGCCGAAACGAGGAGAGTGTTTCGGGCAGATTTTTTCTCGTGTATGGTGATTGTTTTGGCATTTCTTTCTAATTGTTCAAACAACTTTAATTTGTGTTTTCTGTCATTTGTCTATTACTTCTCTGGAGTTGGGTGCTTCACCGTGTCACTGGAGTTGTAAATTGTAATGGAGCTCACCATTGGGTTTTGCAAAGGGGTTGAGAGTGAGGGGGAATATGGGAAAGGGTAAAATAGGGGATTCTATTTAGTTTAGGACTGGATTGAAAATTGGATTCAGCATTGGAGAGTTTTGGTACACTGCCCTTGATGAGGATTGATGGATGTAGCATTGGCTATGTGTGGGGTTCAGGGTTTAGCATTCAGCATTGGCTACTCTAAGACAGTTTTTGCTTTTTGGTGGAAGCATTAACTGCTACCGCGAGGTTTGATGTGGTTAACACTTTACTCAATGAAATGAGGATTGATGGAATTCAACTGTCGAGGATCTGACAAGTACATATGCTTATACTTCCTTTGGCGAAATTAGATTTATTATTCTCTTTGGGAGTGATAGATCCATAATGCACACCAGGTATTTGATATTATATTTTGTTTTCTGAGGTCAAGTGTGAACTTTATTAGGCAATGGGATCAGAATAGTTGTGAAGGGATAAAGCATAAGCTACACTTTCAGCACTAACATTAAATCTCTCACGGAGTTTAGGAACCCTATCATGCCAAGTAACTCAGCCGAAATTTTGTGCCATTCGCAATTTGATTGCTTGTGGGACAGGCACATCACAGCGGTACTTGCAATTTCAAACCAGGAACCAAATCAAACTCGCCATAACCATTTTCACACGTAAGCGAAGGTATGTGTAATTTGCAAGTGTGAAGTGTCATAAGGGCTCTGAAAAAGATAAGAGTTGTTCGCTTGATAGTACTGACCTGAACAAGAACAATTACCTCTTTGTCAGGAGGGAAGAGAGTGAGACTCTGGACATCGTTGATGTGGGCAAGCTCCAATGGGTCCGAACTTGTGAGATTTGAAATTGTGGTCACTGAATTGTAAGGAGATTGAGACCCGCAGATCAGAAAAGCAGGGCAGGACTTCTTTTTACCATTGCAGGAATAAAGAAAAGCTGTAGAAGTGCCGGTTTCTTCGGTGTTGTTGCAGTCCATAACTGAGTTTGCTGAATACATTTGTTGGGCATTGAGGTAAGAGTTTGAAGAAACTGAGTAGAAACTAATCCATGACAGAATTTTTAGGCAGATGAGAGGCTTGAAGATTATGAAGAAACTTAGATGCTTGCGAGAGTTGGATACATTGGGCTAAATTTATGTGAGTTTGAGATGATGTCATGATGGCATCATCATATTTAATGACGTTATCCTCCTCTCACATAAAACAATCTATACATCCGACTTTCATACTGCTCATCATTATATTTTTACGTATATGAAATGCAACGTTTTGGTGCCTGAAATCATATACCATGATGATCATCACATGCTGTTTGATTCTACCTTTTTCAGTAAATTAATATGTTTGGTAAAATGGTCATTCTTCTCTTGTTATATATGGAACAAGAGCAGCCTATAACGGGAAGGAAAATGTTTTTTTTAGTGACATCCACTTTCAAACCACTTTCAGTCCTCAGATGTTTACATATCACCACACTAACAAGAAATTGCTTTCCAGTTTTGTGTTCAATGTTAAATTATTGATGTTGGACAGTTTTGTCCTTTTTTTTTTTTTTTTTTTTTTTTTTTTTTTGGGTTGGATTTAATACTTTTTTGTAATTAGGTCTCTTATTCTCTCTATATATACTATATATTAGGCATGGCAATAATGAAGATTCATATTTTTTGGAAAGGAAGTTGAAGCTTTTCACAAAGCAAAAAAGAAAACCATGTATTTCACCAATGTAAAAAAAGAAAAAAAGAAGAAAAAAAAGGGTGCATAGCATATGTTATACTAATATAGCAATCCTCTAATGGGTATTGACATTGCATAATATCTCCTTTATGTTTTCACTTAGAGGCCCATGCATTCTCCCTACGAACCTCCTCTTTTTCCTCAGAAGTGAAGTCATTCTTAATGTTAAAAGTCTGGCGGATCTCCTCTGGAGTTTTCCCTTTGATCATGTCTGCTACTGCTTGGCATGTCAGATCTAATAAGCTTTTGATGTTCAAATAGTTTGCAGCCAAGATGAGACCGAAGAGAGTGGCTTGGTCGACTTTGACGAAGTTGGTGTCAAAAGTTTTGAGAGCATCTTCGGAAGTTTTGTCTTCGGACTTGGGGGTCTCGACGTGTTTCTTGCAGTCCTCAATGATCATGGATAAGATGTTACTGCTTACGTTCGCCAAAGGAATGATGGAATCGGCACAATCATCTTCAATCATGTGCTTGATAGTCTGCGACTCCAACGCCACGGCCTCTTCCACCTCGAATGTTTCGTCATCTGAACTTCTCAACACAATCTTCTTTGAAGTCAACATAGTTATAAATCCCTAACCCTAGAGAGAGAGTCTAACCCTAGAGAGTGAGTTTGTGAGATATAAGGAGGGGAAAGGTTAGATCGTTCACCAATATGAATATGAATTAGCTCCCTCCACTACATGCATATACAAAGGAACCTAGCACCATACGGACATAATAAGTCTAATACAATTTGGAAACTAACAGAATTATTAAAAAGAAACCTAATACTATAGCACAGCCGAAAAAACGCAAGCCCTAAAAAATTAAAAGGGTAAAGTGCAAAAAAAACCCCTCTACTATTAATATAGTGCAAAAAGGTCTCTGTGTGGTATAAAACCCCCCTATACTATCAATTTGGTGCAAATAGGTCCCTGTAGTATAAAATGACGATAATACCCTCACTTTAGTTGAATAAATTAATAACTATAAATATAGGCCATGTAAAATAACCCTTTGTCTAATTTGTGTAAAATTGTGTTTGTTTTGCACAAGAATAAAATAAACCTCAATTTGTATAAAATTGGAATAAGCTAAACCAAAGAAACCTAAAACTAAATATAATAAAAACTGAAACCAAACAGTCCCTACTATATAAGACACACACTGTAGCACTATTTGTCCCAAAAAAAAAAAAAAAAAAAATCTCAAACTGTGCATGCCATCTCCTCCCTACTATGGTTCGTGAGAGTAGGATTTCCCTTTCTTCTCTGGGGGCAGATTCCTTATTCGATTTGTTCTTTTGTAACTATTAATGCAAAAATCCTTGCGACTTGGAACGACGGCGTTTACCTATAAAATAAAAGGATGTCATCTCAAATGGCACCGATGGGGTGCCAGCTATAATACCCCTAATTTTAAAAAGAATAGTTTCGACATTTTAATTATTGTTTTATTGTATTTTTATGTGACTATTTGGCTTATTTGTTAATTGTTTAATTGTTTTAATTAGTTATTTGATTTAATTGTTTAATTATGTGTTTAAATTGCATTTATTTGGTTTAATTGTTTTTAATTGATTTCTTGTTTTCAGTAATTGAATTGTTTTATTTTATTATCTTTTGTATTTTTCTTTAATTGGATTAATTTAGTAATTATTAACTTTAATGTAAAATAAGTTAAATGAGTTTAAATTACGTTAATTAACTAGGGTTCTCTAGGAAGTCAGTATGTGTAGTCGACATGGATTAACTTAGGTTGCTTTATGGGCCGACTAAGATCGACATTAGGGCTCTGTCTCTAATCATACAGGGAATAGGGTTGTATTTAAGTCTCTATATATATAGAACAGTATGTCGACTTAGGGTTTTAGGATACAAAACCTCTATTCACATAACAAGGTTACAAGGAGAAACAGAAAGAGGTTTTGAGAAAACAGAGCACGTTCGGTGAGGGTTTCGACTGAGGCTTCAAGGTCGGACCTAGGTGTAATAACCCTAATTTCAAAAGGGATAAAAATGGAATTTAAATTTTATTTTTGTGCATTTTAAATTGATTTTGTATCTATATGCTTATGTGTCCAATTGTTTGTTTATTTTAATTCATTGTGTTATTTTTTTTAATTGTTTGTTTATTTTAATTAAGGGTGTAATTCTTTATTTGTTTGTTTATTTTAATTAATTGTTTTATTTATTTTATGTGTTTTAAGTGTTTCGTTGCTTGCTTATTTGATTTAATTAATGGGTGTTATTAAATTAATTATTTATTAAGTATTTAATTTTTGAACAGGGTAATTATGTAATTCTCATTAACTGGGGTTTTAGATACGTTTTAGTTAGGGTTTTTGGAGCCGTCTCATAAGCATCTGATATGTATCTAAACTGGGTTACTTTGTGGGCCGACGAAGTTAGGGCTCTGTGGATTAGGGTTTTAATCTTGCAATTATAAATACCTCAGTATATGTTAAACCTAGGGTTACATATTGTCGTAGCTTTTACACGGAAAAGTCTGCCAAATAGAGAGAGTTACAAAGGGAGTTTTGGTGAGAACCGAGCAGTTTGTGAGAATTTCGACTGGGGTTCCAAGGTTTAACCAATGAGAAGGAAGGAGCAGAGGTTCTAAGAGGTTAGACAAGTTTCAGTAGATGTCGGAAAAGAACTAAGACCAACGACAACAAGGGTTTGTTTGCAAACCTATTCAGGCAAGTTCTATCTTCCTCTTTCCCTTTGAGCCGTGTTCTGTGCACCTAGATATGCTCTAGGGTTTTAAGGAAATTAACAACTAAATCATTCATGTATGTTATACATCAAATTAATCATATGTATGCTTTGAATTATTTCTGTGATGATTTCTGCAATATCTGTTACAGTGCATGCAAGTTGGTTCAGTTTTATGTCCTTTAAGCATGAGGGTTCTTGTCGTAGTTTTTGTCTCTGTTTTTTTATTACAACTACTGTAAACTAAGTATGGAAAGACTACGGGAGTTATGTAAATCTCATAGGAAGGTTGCTATTTCTGTTTTAGATCTCTGTTGCATTTTGCTTCGTTGTAATCCATGCATGAGGTTTCAGTTTTTGCACAAGTTTACTTCTGTTAATTGATTTAAATTGCTATAATCAAACCTTGGGGATGCTATCAGGAGGGTGTTAGATCCTTTAGATCAGTTTAAGAAACAAGCAGAGGGGTAGGAATTGATCGGAGAAGGAGCAGATTGACGGAAACGGAGCAGGGATGAACTGGAGGCTCTCAAGAGGGAGAGAGCCGGCTCTAGAAAGTCAAGAGCCGACTCCCCTTCAGCAAGAGCCGGCTCCTAGGGAATTGGAGCCGGCTCCAATAGGGGAAGAGCCGGCTCTTCCATTCCAAGAGCCGGCTCCAATTTGTTTTACGTCCAGAAAGTGTTTTCTAGGGCTCTGTTTGGTGTTTTGAGCACTGTTTGAGCTTCTGAGTGATGCTAATGAACTGTAGGGACTTAACAGAGGATCTAAGTAGTTAATTTTAAGTGTTATTAAACTTATTGTTGTATGGTTTAAGTCTCTAAGACAAAGGATGAAGCAGTGTAAAAATATACAACGGTGTATGCTACTAACAGAAGAAAGGAACTAAATGGCTTAATTAAATTTTAGAAATTTAATGAGACTTCATGGAGGGATTAAATAGTTAATTTTTGGGTGTTATTAAGACCCTAAATTGATTTAAGGTTAATTCTAAATTAACGGATCAAACTGTATAACACTTATGTACATTATATACGGTTAGTGGATGGATGAAGTTTTAAATACTTAAGCTTATTTTTAGGCATTCTAGTGGGATTTAATATATTTATAAAATGATTTTAAATATATTATAGGGTCATTGATGTGTTAGATGTGATCTATGCAGGCTCTGGATGTTAGTTGTTGATTTATTAAATCATCTCCTGCAACTATATGGTTAATTGTTTGGATTTAAATTGCTGAAACATTTAAAAATCTTCTGTAATTAATTGGATATTGGTTTTGGATTTTAAATTGCTGTACTATCATTCATAGTCTGTAATTTACATGGTTTTGGTTTTAAGTTGTTGAACTACTAAATACTATTCTGCAACGATGTGGATGGTTGGTTTTGGACTATAAATTACGTGCTTATTATTTATGCCTTGTAATTTACTTGGAATCATATATTGGATTATAATTGCTGAATTCTTATATTAAATTTGGTCAATTATTTGGAATTATGTATTGGATTTTAATTGCTGAATTCTCACATTAAAATTCTGTCAATTATCTGGGTTTGGCTTTGGATTGTAAATTACTTGCTTATCATTTGAATGTTGTAATTTACATGGATATGGAGGATTGTACGCACCGGTATGGGACGGTGGCATACTAGGTATGGTTTAGCTCAAAATGCTAATTCCTACCTTATGAATTTTAATTGGTGAACAGTTTTACCTGTCGTATCAATTATATGGATTTTGTGGATTGTATGCACCGGTATGGGACGGTGGCATACTAGGGACAGACTGATTCAAAATACTCAGTCCTACCTATTTTGGAAAGAAGGGTACGAATTATAAAAACATAATTCTCCTTATATTTAAGTCTGTGCAGTTGAATAAACTGAACGACTTACTGGATCTCTTATAAGTCTGTGCAGCTGAATAAGCTGAACGATTTATTGGAGTTCCTATGGATGGATTTGAATGTACTTTAAATATATGGTTATGGTATCACGAGATGGGCTTGAGTCTCAAACTCGTTGGTTAGGACGTGTATATGCAGTGGATGCGTAGCTAGCTATAGTAGGTTGAGGTGTACCCTGTTAGGTCTAGGTACTCATGCCCACCTTTGGGTGCGTTTTTGCATGTTGCCTTCTATTCAGGTTGAGACCCCTATTGTAGTTCAGTGAATGTCCCATAGTGTGGATATATATATGTATGGACTAGATAGATATTGTGAGGTATCTACGGTGTATCTGCGTATCGGGTCACTGTATGGATTGCAGCTAGATTAAAACTTGCTCGTGGGCCTGACCCACTCTTCTATTATTTTTTTTCAGGTGTTCGTCAGTCCAAGCTGTAGAGCTTGATCGTGCTGAGCCGATACAGTTATTCACTGCACCAATGGCATAGGATTTTATTTCATGTTAAGACTTGAGTTTTATTTCTAGTTCTTTTGAATACAGTTGGGATTTGAATAGGGGTCCACTAGATGGATTCCCGAGTTGTATATGGAGGATCAGTTGTAGCATAAAGGTTATTTATTAATGAAATTTTATTTCTGAGGTTTTCAAATTATTTATCTCTTTTGATATAATTATTCTGTGTTCGATTATTGCTAATTGTTTTGATATCATCGGGCGTGGGCCTGGCCAACCTGCATTCGGAAATTCGGAAAGAGAACGGACTACCTCCACCACCTACCTTGGCATTGTTGCCACCTCCACCGCCGCCCCCGACACTGCCGCCACCTCCACCGCTGCCGGCAATGGTGGAGGTGGGTACAGTGGCGGGGTAGGTGGTGGCCAGCGATGGTGGAGATGGTGGCAGTGACGGAGTAGGAGGTGGCAGCGGTGGAGGTGATGGATGTAGAATGCGCCATAACAATTCAAGGTTAATGGATTGGAAATTCATTATTTTTATTTTTTTCAGATGTGGTTGCCTTCCATGTTTTAACCTTCTAGCTTCAAAGGAATATTAATTAGGATTAAAAGTGAGTAGTAGCCACTGTGTATGTATATATATATATCTATATTTAACCCAGATGGTATGCTTGGGCCAAACCTACACGTATATAGCCCAATTCTTTGAATCATAATCCAAATCTATGTGTCTTTTGCTAATTAAATCGACTGTCTTCTGCGATCTTTATGATTCTTCATCGATGATCTGAGAACTACATATTATTTTCTTTGCGAGTTATAGTCCCATAATTCACACCAGGTATTTGATATTTTGTTTGACTAAGTGTTTATTCAACTTTATTATGATCCATCCTATGATTATCAAAAAAATAAATTTAATGTTCCTACAGTATTTAATAGATTTTTAGTTTTCACAAAGCAAAAGAGAATACCAGCATTTCAAATAAGCATATATGATCCTACTAAGGGTATCGACAACAGAAAAAAAAAATAAAAATAAAAAATAAAATCACACAAGAAAAGAAAGAAAAAAAAAAAAAATCATGGATAATCCATAGTTGCTTCATGTTTCACTCAAACGCCCATGCATTCTCCCTGCGGACCTCTTCTTCTTCTTCCTGAGTATAGTCATTCTTAATATTAAAAGTCTTGCGAATCTCTTCCGGAGTCTTCCCTTTGAACATATTCGCCACTGTTTGACATGTCAGATCTAACAAACTTTTGATGTTCAAATAGTTTGCAGCCAAGATGAGATCGAAGAGGGTGGCTTGGTCTATGTCTTTGACAAAGTCAGCTTCAAAAGTTTTGAGAGCATCCTCTTCGGACTTGGGGGTCTCGATGTGCTTCTTGCAGTACTCGATGATCATGGGCAAGATCTTACTAGATACGTTCGGTAGAGGAATGATGGAATCGGCACAATCATCTTCAATCAAGTGCTTGATGGTCTGCGCCTCCATCGCCACTGCCTCTTCCACCTCGAAGGTCTCGCCATCTAAGGTTCTCAACACCACCTTCTTTGAAGTCGACATGGTTGCGCCTCTCAAAGCCAAAAACCAAATCCCTAACCCTAGAAAGTTTGTGAGATATTCAAAGCCAAAGCTTACGTTGAATCTACAGAGCAATATAAAATATGAATACCTAAACCTCTATTTATAATAAAGAAGCCTAACACCTTAAGGATTGAAGAATAAGGAATCTAAACACCATTAGGAAACTAACAAGTAAACCTAATCCTATAACAAAACATATCAACATAAGGAAACTAAAAAAACCTTAGGAAAACTTTATAAAGAAGTCCAAAATTCAATTCTCTAAACATTACAAATTAATAATAATAATAATAAAGAATAAGAAACCTAATTACTAAAAATTATTAAATATGAGAAAGAAAGAAAAAAAACACTATTTTACATCCATTATTCTTTTGTCTTACAGCGTTTTTTAGTGAGTCCATAACTTTGAATTCTTGAGCACTTAAATACACACATATGCAAAGGGTCCTATTCTTGAGAAATTATTCTTGTGCATTTCCTCAACGCGGATAATCTAGCAGTATGTCGTACCCATAATCATTGGTCACTACAGAAGCAAGTTTTTATCGAGCAAATTTTTTTCACTTCCCCCACTGAAAATTCCGCCCTAGTCCTAGTTTTCAATCTTAAAGACAAAAAATCCTAAAAAAATTTTTTTAAGACAAAGAAGTCCTACATATTTCCAATCAAGTTCTAAACTAAACCCCCTTTCTCCCCTAAGCAAGAGAAACTGTCTTCTTTAGAACCCAAAAATAAGTAAATAAAGAAGCAACCAAACAATAGCAGAGCAGCAAATTAAACATCAACAACTAATTAATTTGATTATAAGATCCAATTAGTGAGAATAATTAACCATTAATACAGTCAATATATAATAGTTTAAAACCTAAACTATTCTCAACTGTTTTTTTTTCACCAAGACAAGACACCTTTCAATAAGACGAGTTTGAGAACAGGGCACCCCAAATCTCAGTTAACACTTCAACGATGACCCTGTGGTGATGACAAGAGTTTAGAGAGAGAAAGCACTGTAACAGATTCTCAAGATCCTTGGCTCCGAAAATCTCCCTTTCCACTATCATTTCCACCATTGAAGTCCTAAAATCATTGTAGGGATCGCTAGAACACTTCACCGCCGCAAAGCTGTCTTCAACTTTTCCTTGTAGTACCGGCATTAGACCCATTTCAGAGTCCTTCCTCTGATTACTTCTTCGCCGACTCGTCTCAATTTGGCGGTCACACCGAGGTCTGTTTTGGTAAAAAGACCGACCAGATGAATCAGAGGAAAGAGATTTTGAGGAGAAAAGTGTGGTCTCGTCGTTGTCGTCGCTGCTAAACCACCCATTATAATACTGAGCTCTGTCAAACTTTTGGCTCCTCAAATGGGTCTTCTTGTTCTTCTTCTTTTTCTTTTTCTTTTATCATGATTTTTTCTCTTCTGGATTCACTCTGAAACATTGAAAGTTGTGGATTTTGTTTAGAGGCGTAATGGGTGATTCAGGTGGACATTTTTGGCCGTCCATGTCGGCCGAAACGAGGATAGTGTTTCGGCCAGATTTTTTCTCGTGTATGGTGATTGTTTTGGCATTTCTTTCTAATTGTTCAAACAACTTTAATTTGTGTTTTCTGTCATTTGTCTATTACTTCTCTGGAGTTGGGTGCTTCACCGTGTCACTGGAGTTGTAAATTGTAATGGAGCTCACCATTGGGTTTTGCAAAGGGGTTGAGAGTGAGGGGGACTATGGGAAAGGGTAAAATAGGGGATTCTATTTAGTTTAGGACTGGTTTGAAAATTGGATTCAGCATTGGAGAGTTTTGGTACACTGCCCTTGATGAGGATTGATGGATGTAGCATTGGCTATGTGTGGGGTTCAGGGTTTAGCATTCAGCATTGGCTACTCTAAGACAGTTTTTGCTTTTTGGTGGAAGCATTAACTGCTACCGCGAGGTTTGATGTGGTTAACACTTTACTCAATGAAATGAGGATTGATGGAATTCAACTGTCGAGGATCTGACAAGTACATATGCTTATACTTCCTTTGGCGAAATTAGATTTATTATTCTCTTTGGGAGTGATAGATCCATAATGCACACCAGGTATTTGATATTATATTTTGTTTTCTGAGGTCAAGTGTGAACTTTATTAGGCAATGGGATCAGAATAGTTGTGAAGGGATAAAGCATAAGCTACACTTTCAGCACTAACATTAAATCTCTCACGGAGTTTAGGAACCCTATCATGCCAAGTAACTCAGCCGAAATTTTGTGCCATTCGCAATTTGATTGCTTGTGGGACAGGCACATCACAGCGGTACTTGCAATTTCAAACCAGGAACCAAATCAAACTCGCCATAACCATTTTCACGCGTAAGCGAAGGTATGTGTAATTTGCAAGTGTGAAGTGTCATAAGGGCTCTGAAAAAGATAAGAGTTGTTCGCTTGATAGTACTGAACTGAACAAGAACAATTACCTCTTTGTCAGGAGGGAAGAGAGTGAGACTCTGGACATCGTTGAAGTGGGCAAGCTCCAATGGGTCCTAACTTGTGAGATTTGAAATGGTGGTCACTGAATTGTAAGGAGATTGAGACCTGCAGATCAGAAAAGCAGGGCAGGACTTCTTTTTACCATTGCAGGAATAAAGAAAAGCTGTAGAAGTGCCGGTTTCTTCGGTGTTGTTGCAGTCCATAACTGAGTTTGCTGAATACATTTGTTGGGCATTGAGGTAAGAGTTTGAAGAAACTGAGTAGAAACTAATCCATGACAGAATTTTTAGGCAGATGAGAAGCTTGAAGATTATGAAGAAACTTAGAAGCTTGCGAGAGTTGGATACATTGGGCTAAATTTATTTTAGTATGAGATGATGTCATGATGGCATCATCATATTTAATGACGTTATCCTCCTCTCACATAAAACAGTCTATACATCCGACTTTCATACTGCTCATCATTATATTTTTACGTATATGAAATGCAACGTTTTGGTGCCTGAAATCATATACCATGATGATCATCACATGCTGTTTGATTCTACCTTTTTCAGTAAATTAATATGTTTGGTAAAATGGTCATTCTTCTCTTGTTATATATGGAACAAGAGCAGCCTATAACGGGAAGGAAAATGTTTTTTTTAGTGCCATCCACTTTCAAACCACTTTCAGTCCTCAGATGTTTACATATCACCACACTAACAAGAAATTGCTTTCCAGTTTTGTGTTCAATGTTAAATTATTGATGTTGGACAGTTTTGTCCATTTTTTTTTTTTTTTTTTTTTTTTGGGTTGGATTTAATAGTTTTTAGTAATTAGGTCTCTTATTCTCTCTATATATACTATATATTAGGCATGGCAATAATGAAGATTCATATTTTTTGGAAAGGAAGTTGAAGCTTTTCACAAAGCAAAAAAGAAAACCATGTATTTCACCAATGTAAAAAAAGAAAAAAAGAAAAAAAAAAAAGGGTGCATAGCATATGTTATACTAATATAGCAATCCTCTAATGGGTATTGACATTGCATAATATCTCCTTTATGTGTTCACTCAGAGGCCCATGCATTCTCCCTACGAACCTCCTCTTCTTCCTCAGAAGTGAAGTCATTCTTAATGTTAAAAGTCTGGCAGATCTCCTCTGGAGTCTTCCCTTTGATCATGTCTGCTACTGCTTGGCATGTCAGATCTAATAAGCTTTTGATGTTCAAATAGTTGGCAGCCAAGATGAGACCGAAGAGAGTGGCTTGGTCGACTTTGACGAAGTTGGTGTCAAAAGTTTTGAGAGCATCTTCGGAAGTTTTGTCTTCGGACTTGGGGGTCACGACGTGTTTCTTGCAGTACTCAATGATCATGGATAAGATGTTACTGCTTACGTTCGCCAAAGGAATGATGGAATCGGCACAATCATCTTCAATCATGTGCTTGATAGTCTGCGACTCCAACGCCACGGCCTCTTCCACCTCGAATGTTTCGTCAGTTGAACTTCTCAACACGATCTTCTTTGAAGTCAACATAGTTATAAATCCCTAACCCTAGAGAGAGAGTCTAACCCTAGAGAGTGAGTTTGTGAGATTTAAGGAGGGGAAAGGTTAGATCGTTCACCAATATGAATATCAATTAGCTCCCTCCACTACATGCATATACAAATAACCTAGCACCATACGGACAGAATAAGTCTAATACAATTTGGAAACTAACAGAATTATTAAAAAGAAACCTAATACTATAGCACAACCGAAAAAACGCAAGCCCTAATAAATTAAAAGGGTAAAGTGCAAAAAAAAACCCCTCTACTATTAATATAGTGCAAAAAGGTCTCTGTGTGGTATAAAACCCCCTTATACTATCAATTTGGTGCAAATAGGTCCATGTGGTATAAAATGACGATAATACCCTCACTTTAGTTGAATAAATTAATAACTATAAATATAGGCCATGTAAAATAACCCTTTTGTCTAATTTGTGTAAAATTGTGTTTGTTTAGGACAAGAATAAAATAAACCTCAATTTGTATAAAATTGGAATAAGCTAAACCAAAGAAACCTAAAACTAAATATAATACAAACCGAAACCAAACAGTCCCTACTATATAAGACACACACTGTAGCACTATTTGTCCCAAAAAAAAAAAAATCTCAAACTGCGCATGCCGTCTCCTCCCCTATGGTTAGTGAGAGTAGGATTTCCCTTTCTTCTCTGGGTGCAGATTCCTTCTTCGATTTGTTCTTTTGTAACTGTTAATGCAAAAATCCTCGCGACTCGGAACGACGGCGTTTACCTACAAAATAAAAGAATGTCATCTCAAATGGCACCGATGGGGTGCCAGCTATAATACCCCTAATTTTAAAAAGAATAGTTTCGACATTTTAATTATTGTTTTATTGTATTTTTATGTGACTATTTGGCTTATTTGTTAATTGTTTAATTGTTTTAATTAGTTATTTGATTTAATTGTTTAATTATGTGTTTAAATTGCATTTATTTGGATTAATTGTTTTTAATTGATTTCTTGTTTTCAGTAATTGAATTGTTTTATTTTATTATCTTTTGTATTTTTCTTTAATTGGATTAATTTAGTAATTATTAACTTTAATGTAAAATAAGTTAAATGAGTTTAAATTACGTTAATTAACTAGGGTTCTCTAGGAAGTCAGTATGTGTAGCCGACATGGATTAACTTAGGTTGCTTTATGAGCTGACTAAGATCGACATTTGGGCTCTGTCTCTAATCATACAGGGAATAGGGTTTTATTTAAGTCTCTATATATATAGAACAGTATGTCGACTTAGGGTTTTAGGATACAAAACCTCTATTCACATAACAAGGTTACAAGGAGAAACAGAAAGAGGTTTTGAGAAAACAGAGCACGTTCGGTGAAGGTTTCAACTGAGGCTTCAAGGTCGGACCTAGGAGAAGGGAAGAGCAGAAGTACTAGGAGGCTAGATAGTATTTCAGTGTTGCCGAAAACGTGGACACGATACCGAGATTTCATAACTGAAATTACAGGCAAGTTATTTTCTTCCTCTTTCCCGTGGCTTGTGTTCTGTGCACCTAAATAGGCTCTAGGGTTTAAGGGATCATAAAACTGAATTGTGTATGTTTAATACGTATTAAATTTATCATCTGTATGTATTAAACTTATTCTGGAAGTGTTGCTGTTAGTTGGTTTCATCTTTTAATCGTTAAGCATGTTGTAATAGTAGTTGTTTTAATTGTTCTTTTAATGCAAAATGTGGTAAACAAAGGACTGGATTGTTAACTGGATGTAATTTAAGACCTTTAGGGTCAGTTTTAATAAGGAACAGAGGAGGTGGAAGCAACCGGAGACGAAGCAGAAGGCCGTAGAAATTGCAGAAGGGCAGACGGTTCTCAGAGAGGGAGAGAGCCAGCTCCATGGAAGAGGGAGTCGGCTCCCCCCAAGAGTAGAGCTGGCTCTAGGGGATGTAGAGCCAGCTTAAACCCTTTAGAGCCGGCGCCAAGAAGTTTTGGAGCCTGCTTTTTTGTTTTTGGAGCCTGCTCTACAAGTTTAAGAACAAGCTCTCCCACAGGGAATGTTTTCTAAACTTTCTGGGCGTTGTTTAGATGGTTTTAATGCTTCCTGAACTGTGATGTGAGTGTACTAGGGTTCTTAAGTTAGATTTTAAGAGTTATTAAAACCTCTTATTGCATGGTTTATGCCCATACGCTAAAGGATGGAACAATATAAAAGTATACAATTTAGCATACAGTTAACGGATGGAAGGAACTGGACTGCTTAATGTAATTTTAACAATTTATCGGATGATAGCATGAATATAAATCTTGTTTTAAATACATGATAGGGTCATCTATTTATTGGTTTTGATCTATGCATGCTTTGGTTTCTAATTGTTGAAATATTAAATCTTTTTCTGCAATTACACGGATTGTCGCTTAGATTTTAATTGTTGTATTATTAGACATTCTTTTGCAATTATTGGGATAATGGTTTTGGACTGTAAATTACTAAACTATTATTTATGTGTTGTAATTTACTTGGATATAGAGGATTGTATGCACTGGTATGGGACGGTAGCATACTAGAGATGGTTTAGCTCAAAACGTTAAGACCTAACCTACCGGATTAAAGGAATGGATTGTAAAATATTGAATCCTATTTGTGTTTAAGTCAGATCAACTGGCTAAGTTGAATGACTTCCTGGATTAGTTGGTTGTAGTTAAGTCATATCAACTGAATAAGTTGAGTGGCTAACCGAACTGTGTTTTGTATGTCACCTCAATGAATAATTGAAAGACATACTCCGGTTTTGGGATGGACTTTAGATATATGGTTATGGTACCACGAGATGAGCTTGAGTCTCAGACTCGTTGGTTAGGGTGAATATATGCAGTGGATGCGTGTAATACCCCTAGTTTTAAAAGAGATATAATCGGAATTTTATTATTTATTTTATTGTTTTCAGTATTTATTTTATTATTTTTAAGTGCTTATGTGGCTATGTGTGGAATTTGAATGACGTGTTGTTTGAATTGATTTGTGGATTTAATTTAATTACATGCTTAATTTTTATTTATTTTTTTTTTATTTGGTATTTTTAATTAGATTAAATGTGTATTTTTATTTCTGGTTTGAAATGATGGGCTTGGACAGTAGCGATGTACCAACCGGTTGGGTCTCATGGACTACTCAAATAGGAGAGTAGCGGGTACTGTTAATATCCATGGATGATTATACATATATTTTTTTTGGTATATGTGTATATAAGGTAAATCAAATTAATAGGATTTTAGGGTTGTATATAACCATGAAATCTGTAGCCGACTTATATATTATTTATTTTATATTTTATTTTATTTTCTTTTGTTTTTAGTTTCCTCCTAGAATTAAAATTAGGTTTTCCAATACACCTATAAATATATTGTGTTACGGCTGGTTAGGGTTGGAAAAACAAAACACAGACCCTATTCACGTTCTGGGATATTATGAGGAAACAGAGAGAGGTTTTTGAGAGAAACAGAACAAGTTGTGAGGTTTTCCGGCTAGGGCTTCAAGGCCCGACCTAGGAGAAGGGAAGAGCAGAAGTAAGGGGAGGCTAGACAGTAACTCAGTATTGCCGGAACAATGGACACGATGCCGGAATTTCATAACTGAAATCACAGGCAAGTTCTTTCATTTCTCTCTCCCGTTGCCTGTGTTCTGTGCATCCTTAGACTGTCTC